CTGCTGCTGTTAGGAGAGTAAGAATACAAAAGGACTGGTCTCCTGTGTTCCTTTCATAATGGGGAACCTGTGCCCTGAGTCTGCTCTCACCTCTAGCTTCCTGTCTGGTCCCTGCTTCCCTTATTTCCCCAATTTTCAGTCAGGAAACAACCTTCTACTCTTTAGATTATGCAATGACAGAGCTTCACTGGGGACACAGAGTAGTATCCAACTGTTCTGTGCCACCTGGAACAGTTAGCAGCGTCCCTTGGGTTGCCAAAAGTGTTAGGATACAGTAAATCAGCTTCTGCCTTGCAGTTCTAGTCTGACACAAGCTCCTGTGCCCTGTGAGAAGTAATACCTGCATGCAGCTCAAGTCATGAGGTAGAGTAACCAGAACTACTGGATAGTGTACGTGTCCAGGTAAATCCAAGCGTCTGTGAATCAGCGCTTCTTTCAAGCTGGAAAACTGGATCAAATAATAGGAGCCCCTCACTGATGCTTTGAAGCAGGACAGGAAGGTGTCTGACTGTGCCCTCTCAGCTGAGTAATCTGGGCAGTCGCTGACACAAGCAGCTGACACAGTCACTTCCAGCTTCCCCTCTGAGAGGAAGGAGCTGGCTGTGGGAAGCAGTGCTGCCCTGCACTGCACCCAGCTCCTCCGTGGATAGCCAAGGGAGCACTCTGATACCTCTGCAGGTTTAATGCTCAAGGTAGCCAGTGGCCTGGGAACAAAACAAGCTTCATTGGCTTCTGAAGGTGTTTTAAACCACTGCATTCTCATTAAAAATTCACATTCTGCCTGCTCTGTTTTCTAAGAGACGGTTGTCTTGGGAAGTACCTGTTCTAGAATATATAAGAATGTTGTTTCTTTGGTTCAGGACCTCTGAAATAAATTATTTATATAATAAAAGATCTTAAATATATTTATGGTCTATGGGACCAAAAAAAAAATCTGTTTTTAGAATTGACCTCTAAAATTACCTTAAAGCATTTTTTTAAAATACTTCCTGTAGGTTCCATAGAAGCATAGAGCATGTGAAAGTGCTAAATTGGTGTTAAGTTTTTATGTAAGTTTCAAAATATTTTCACTTCTATTGCCACTTTACCTCACCACTCTTAACAAATAAATTTAACTAGTGAGCCAGAGACAGTTTTAAGTCTGTCCATGTGTTTGTTTCAACTTGTTTGGATAGACACAGAGAGCATTTATGTAAAAGAGAAATTATCCAAAGATATTTTAATGAAGATTAACTGTATTTGTATTGTGTTTTATGCAGTCTGCCATAGAACATAACAAATCACCACTTGAAAATGGGCTTTGTGTGACTTTTTAATTTGCTTTTGTTTGTTGTATGTTTGTATTTTTGGAGTGATGTCTAGTTTCTGTTTAGGAAGCAAAAAACAGTCAAGCCGTTGGATTCTGTAATTGCAGATTATAGCTGGTTGAGGAGTCATACACTGCATGTTTCTGATTACAGATTAGAAAGACCAACACTTTTCATTTAGAAAACTTTCTTGGAAAAAAAATCAACAGAAGAAAACTGCTTTTAGCATTAAAAAAGTAATCTGATGGGGTTTTTTCAGTTATGCCAAGTGCTTGTTTAAGTTGTAATAACTTATTTGAACTTCTGGAGTTTAATTTAATTGGAATTAAATTGAACTCCCTTCTGCTATTGTGTTGATTTTGACCAGAGCAAATAAAGAACTAGTAGCTCTTAGTATCACTCATGAAAGTCATGAGGGTTAAACAGTGGTCATCTCTTCTTCCAGTTTTCCACTAGTGCTTCAATAGCTATTCTTCCTAAAATGCTCCAACTGCAGGAGTGCAGTTCATCCATGAAAATAGTATAGCAAGAATAATGCTCCAGCCCTGCACATTAGAAGAAGGCATTTGAAGTTGGATGTGCTTTTAATGTTAGCTCTGCATTAGGGGTGGTCATTTTCTCCTCAGCACTGGAAGACTTTGCTGCACATTTTCATGAAAAATATGATGGCACCTAGTAGAAGACAAGATTTTCCATGCTAAAGATGAACTTGATACTCAAACTGCAGTTTACTTAGGTAGCCTGGGGTTGCATTTTAAACTTACTTATAGCAGAAATAGTTTTCCAACTTTCACCTTACAGTTTGAAGACTAATACAATGTAAGGGTAAGCTTAGAGACAGCAATTTCAGCTTATTTTCTTCCACTTTTCAAAGGAAATAGGGTTAGAATGTCATGCTCACAATCAGACAGCTGCTGACTGGTTTCATTTCCACCTGCTGTAGGAGGAGAGGTGAAGTGTGGGGGAGTCAGTGACTTCAAGCATGGCGAAGAAAGTCAGCCATAATCCACTGGAATTGGCATGACCAGGTGACAGTCAGTGGTCATCTGGCCATTTATTGTAGGTAGTGGGCAGCCAGGCTCTCCATGGGTGTTCTGAACTGGCCGCAGCATGTGGTGTGTCCCAAACAGCCAGGAGCACAGGGTGCAGCAATCTAGGAATGCTGTAAACTTTTCAAGAGCCTGAGGGTGTTGTGGAGAGAGTAGAAGCTGATAGTACCAGGTGGACTTGGAGACAGAGCACTCAGCAGGGCTGGGGAAATGCGGGCTTGGAGATAGCTGCAGTGGGAGAGTTTTGTAATGTTGCATAGTTCCCTTCATGGCTTACTTACCCTGTGCACTGTGGACTGCCTTCAGGGAGGGTAGTGGAACATCAGTGTTTTTATAATGTATGTGGTACTCCGTGGTCTGGTACCCCGTGATGGAGTTGCTAAAGGTCCTTAGCACCTGAAGGCACAGACAGACGACTCTGAAATCCCCTCTTTATTTCTGTTTTCCACTCGGGGCACAGAAAAAAGGGAAAAGACTGGTCAGCAAAACAAACTGACAAAACCAAAAAGCAAGTTTTCCCACTACTCTGAACAGAGATAGAATTGGTATGTTCTCCCACATGAGATTTGCCCTTCCACCTACCATGTAGTTATTTGTGCTCAGAATGATGGAATTTAAGGTCCCCCACCCCTAATACACTTCATCAGTAGGCTGGATTAGCAACAGATGACATGGGCTGCTCTGTGAGGTCATAATTCTGAGAGTTCTGTTCTTAAGCACTAGAGCATGTGTTATCCATATGTGGAAAATCAACGGTTCATACTAAAATTACTAATTTTTTAACAGACTGAACATCCAAAGCACCTTCCAAAAAATTAATCTGACCATAACAAAGAAGTAATGGAAAAGAATGTGGAGCTACTTGCTCTGAGTAATATTATATATATATATAATTTCAGCTGCCAGAACTTGTATTGCTTTACGAAAAATGCCTCATTAGTGAAAAGAAAACGACCAATTAACCATCCAAAACTGGTCTGCAATACTACTGGTGCTTGACCTTATTGAAACAGACTACCTATTTTCATTTTCTGTAGAGTCCCAGAGGTTTATATGAATGTAATTCTGAAGTTCTGAGAGTAGGATTTAAATAAAAATAAAATAGAAATGGATGCAATAGGAATTTTTTCTTCTCTGCCCTGTGTTGCAGTGTCATTTGGCTTGCAGGAAAGTATAAGTCATTCTTTTCCCACAGGCTATGAAGCAGAGGTTGCAAATCTTTTTCTAATAGGCTCTGCTTTACTTTCTAAAATCACTAGCAAGTATTTGTTGCTATCAAGTACACTTGTGGCAATTTCAGGGGCAAGTTAAATACTTTGCTTTGAAACTTGCTTGAAATTCTTAAAGTTTTTATGCAAAGTAAGATAGGTTTGTGATACTCTATCCTACTGCTTGTGCATACAACCTTAAAGGGAATAAATCTCCAGGACAATCAATGTGGCATTTTGTGAACATTACCTTTTTTTTTTTTTTTTTTGTAACAAGTGTTTCAGGTCTCCATTGTTAATCTCATTCCCAAATTCATTCTCCTCCTCCTTTTGTCTAAAATGTGACTGTTGAAGAGGATTCATTTTGAAGTTTTGAGTCCCGACGTGCATGCACACAATCTTCCTCCCTCTGCTCTTAATTTTGATCCATCTTTGGACTTGTTCTAACAGCGCAATTTCAAAATTATCCCTTGACTTTGGGGGCTGAACTCAAGCAGCAAATGCTTGATCACTTTGGAGCACCATATAACCTACTTTCCAATTGAGATGCCAGTCACATTTTAAGACTTAGGATATGCACCAGCTATTTTTTTAGTATAACTGCCAAAAATCCTCCCTAGGGAGGCTTGATGATGTGATTAAAAGCAGTTCAAAAGTTTTCATGGTTCAGTAAAAAGCAACTCTTCTGTCTCATCTACTTTGGAACAGAAGCCATAGCTAGTATGGGTGACTTAGTGTCATTGCTGGAAATTATTCTCCAGTGTGAATGCACCCTGTCTGAAATACCTACAGTGCTGACAGTGAGCATGGAAATGTTACTTGCACACCTCAGATAAGTAAACGTAAGGGTGAAAGCCAGGTCTCTAGTGCAAAAGTTGTGCCACTTAGTGATTGCTCACTCTTGTCATTCACTTCTGTGCCAGTAGATTTTGCAGTAGTTTTAGAACCATGGCTGAATTGCTGTGGTTGACCCAAAAAGAGTCTGAAAGCTCAAATGATACTGAGCAGTGCATTGTTCATTTTATAGTTGGGTGTGTGGATGTGTTTAATAAGCATGTATCCATTTTTTTCTTTATTTTTTTCATTTTTTCAGGGCAGTTTAAAAAAAAAGTCCACAAAACACACAACAAACCCCAAAAACGCAAAACCAGCTTTATCTCCTGGTACATTTTCTTTGGATAGCTTCACTCTCTGACACATGTAGAAATGTTTTGTCGCCTATCTTGGTGAAGTTAGTATGGGATAAATAGTTTTAATATGAAAATGTTTTATGATTGAAAGTACTGCTCCATTTTTTTTTTCTGAAATTCACACATATGGAAGGAAATGTCGTGTCTAATGAATGTGGGAGTGTTATTATTAAAATGTAAACAAAGTTATTCTGTACTTTGCAAATTGGTGAAATATTTGTGCCACTGTTTGCTGCTGCTTCTTAGGGACACAGCAGGTCAGGAGAGATTCAACAGCATTACCTCAGCTTATTACAGAAGTGCCAAGGGAATTATTTTGGTGTATGATATCACCAAGAAGGAAACATTTGACGATTTACCAAAATGGATGAAAATGATTGATAAGGTATGCCTTAAGTATTTTATTTTTACATGCTTTTTTTTAACAAGTTTTTTTTTTCCTCTCAAATTTACAGCATGTGTTTAGGATTAATAAACTACTGTCACATACTTTGCACTGATTACTTTTAGCCAGGATTTAACATTGATGTGTTTTACTTGCAAAATGGTTGTCCATTCCCTCTTTCTTGAACTAGAATTGTCCCAGTTAGAAGTGTCAGTGAAAATCTGTAACATTGCTCATTTACCTTTGCAGTGGGGGGAGGGGGGTTTGTTTCCTGTCTGTGAAATAAGGTCATTGCATTCTTAGATAAAATAGAGCAGCTAGTTCTCAAATCACATTTTAAAAATGGAATTTTAAATTGAAAATTTTTGAAATAATGTTTGGGAAGAACATTTACCTATAAACTATGTCATGTGGTAGTGGAATTGCCCTTTTTTTGCATTGTGTCTGCATTACAAAATCTTACGTTTCTAGGTTTGGTTAATTAGAAGTGTTTTAATTGCAGTATGCTTCAGAAGATGCAGAGCTTCTACTAGTTGGAAATAAGCTGGACTGTGAAGTTGATCGAGAGATCTCTCGGCAGCAGGGAGAGAAGGTAAGGACAGGCCTAGAGGCAAAGCTGCTGTGGCATTGCTGCTGATGGTCTGTGGCTACTCCTGTTCAGACTGTTGGATGCAGGGAGCATATTGGGAGTGGTGGTGGTCTCTCAAAATCCATGTGGTGTTTATTTGTATGTAATGTGCAGTTGTAAGTGTCCCTGCTGGGCTAGCGTGTCTTTGGTGTAAAGAAAGAGTAAGCTGCAAGTCAGCTTGCACTGTGCCAGTAGTGTAGGGGATACTCCTTCTTGGGCTCTGAAAGGGGATGTAGTGAAGACTTGAAGCACAAATGGAGATCTCTAGTCAGGAAATCTTTGTGGGCCTTCTTTCAGATGTTTGCTTCTCTGTACTATTTTTGGCAGGCAACAGCCCTGCTTTGATTATTGGCTCACCTTTGTTTTCATGTTCCTTTTGTTCTTTTGCAACCCCAAAAGTGTTAAGGAAGCTGGCAAGAGAGTATGTTTGCTGTAGTGTGATACTCAGCACTGTCTTGACCAGAATTATGTCAGTATGGGCGTACACAAACATTTGGAAGTGAAGGCTTATTCCAAACTTCTGCAGGTTTTGCATCTGTACTTCCCTTTTCTACGTTTTGAATAATAAAGTTGAGATTAGCTGTTCTGAGAAGTTCTTCCTTTTTGGCAGTCTGCAGCAGTACGTGTCAACTGAATACATGAATTAAGTCCAGCAAAATGCAGAGTACTTTTCCAATAAACCTATTTTAAGCAAAAATTAACTATATGTTGCAATATTTTCTCTACCATGCAGATTCATGATTATTAGTTGAATTAGACTTCCATCTCAGATTTGGGGAAAGTTGCGTGTTTGGGGTTTTTTTAAGGTTTTATGAGGAGGATATATTTGCTGTCTGTCGTTGTTTGCACATATCTTCATGGAGTTATTTTATTTTCTCTCCCATCAGTTTGCACAGCAAATAACTGGGATGCGGTTCTGTGAAGCAAGTGCCAAGGATAATTTTAATGTGGATGAAATATTTCTAAAACTTGTTGATGACATTCTGAAAAAGGTAAAATACTCAGGTGGTAGTATTCCTCTGGTCACACAAATGGTCAGTGTTTATATAATGACTGCACGTGCTTGGGAGGACAGAGAGCAAGTACAGATTGTCAGGTGAAAATTTTGGACAATACATAGTGGGCATGATGCAGTTCACAGACTGCTGACCACTGCATTTCACTAATAAGACCCAAAAGACCCTTAAATTGAGGCTTTGGCTGTCAGTGAACTCTTGAAACGAGTTCTTTCTATGCAGATGACTGTTTACAGGTGATTTTTCTTTTCTTTAAGATGCCACTGGACGTTATAAGAAATGAGTTGTCCAACAGTATCCTGTCCCTGCAACCAGAGCCAGAAATCCCACCAGAACTGCCTCCTCCAAGGCCACATGTCCGTTGCTGTTGACTTTTTACTTCCTCCAGAGTGAAAAATATGAGCAGGAGGGTAAAGAAAGTGTCTGTACTACTCTGCACTACAATCATTTGGCAGTTTCTCGTTGCACTTTGTTATTCGAGTCAGAGCTACACACTAACTTGTAAATATGCAAATATGCAATCCTATGTAGGATTCAACTATAACATTTAATTATTACCCCTCTCCCTCACAATGATGTTTCATTCATTGCCCCAGTGTTATAAATACTGTACAGTCGGTGGGGGTTTGCCACACATCCAGTTGAGGAGGAGGAGAAATTAAATCTATACCTATTCTTGACATAAATGTTGTAATAGTTCTTTGTTATTATAAACAGGCAGGCAGAAGCTCTTCTGGTATGAAGATAAGTATATGGTGCTTTGCTAACTATTTTAAAGACAAATTTTTTTAAAAACAGAGGACTTTATGTACAAAGCTTCCATAATCAGCATTATGTTTCCTTTTAATGTAGTGACAACATTTTTGGCTGTAGCATCCTCTGCTGACTGGATTTATTGAAAAGCTAAGTTTAATTTCTGGCAGTCTTTTATTTATTTTGTTTAATGCTGCACCCTTTCTTTCTGTACCGAGACATCACACCTGGTGCAGATCTAAGATTGCACTTTGAAAAAGCATACATCATTTTCTGCATAAACATAAATTTGGTTACAAGAATCATTAAGTTTCAATAAAAGAATGGAGATATATCAAGCTCTAAAAGAAGGTATAAAAAAGCAATGCTGCTGTCCTAGACAAATTCTTGAGGAAAAAAAAAAAAGATGATGCATTTTCCTGTGTTAAGGAATATATATGTGTATTTTTGTCTGGACATCTGTAGGGATGGGGGAAGGGAACCTAAGGTAAAATTATTTTCTTTCCTAATGGTGGAAATTATTCCCATCAAGCAAATACTGTGTTAGGATTTTGTCTGATAATGAACTTGTGAATTATATCTTTGGTATATCTTTTATTAAATGCACTGTTTAGTTTAGCTGTGGTAAATCAGTAGATACATATTTGAATAACTTGGTGTGTCCTGAATGTTGTGGTATTGAAAAACATTGTGGTCTTTCTAAACTAATGAAGTGCAAATAAAATTTTGTATTTATGAATGACAGTGGAACTGCACCTGTTATTAGAATGGCAAGTATCAAGTGATGGGTAAAAGGTAGAATCTGGAAAATGGAACAACACTTGTGTTAATTTTGTTATGATTTAGTTTTCTGTTGGACAGTCCTTTAGGTGTAGTGGGAAGAGCAGCAGACATTAGTTGTTCACCTTGGTCGCTGCTCTATTGGGAGAGCAGCTGATGACCTGGCCCAGCTGATATCTTCAAATAGCATGTGACTGCTTGTCATGCTGTCTTAGCAGGTGGTCGCCAGACTATTAGTTACACTGACAACACAAGTATGAACCAGTCTTTGTCACACTACAGCTTCTCTACTTTGCATTCTCTGGTGCTGGAACCCATTTTGTCACCTTTGCCACTCTTATAGCCAGAACTGGCACTGAACACTAAAGTATACCACTGACATAAACAGATTCTCTCTGTTTTATGGGAGAAGAAAAGACACAACAAACTGTTAATACACACACACAAAAAAGCCCTTATTTCACTGAACAAGCTCTGACATTCTGAATTCAATGCCATGCAGGCCTGTAGCACACCTGGATTTCTACTGAAAAATTAAGGAAAGCATGGTTGATATTTGTGCTTATGTCTTCTGCCACCTTGTGCCTAAACAGTTAGCTATTTTAAATAGTAAACTTACAGTTTACTATCCTGTTGGTAAGATAAGATGAATTTCTGAAGCACTTGTAGGAGTTCAGATGATACTGTGGGCAATAGCAAGGAAGGGAAAATTATGGAAAGTGGGTTTTAACTTGACAACCATTTTATTTTAGCTGATTTGTTTTTATTTGTACTTAGAAACTTGTGATTTTTTTCCTGCAGTTTTTGAATTTAATAAAAATTAAGAAATTTGACTTAGATAAATTTCTTTTTGTAATTCTGTGCTGTTTGTATATAGGCAGATTGGGATCTCAGTCTCTTGTACCAAAAATTAAAAACTATTGCATTTAAGAAGGACATATTTATTTGAGTGCTTCAATGTGTTTTGTTATTCATTGGAAATCATAACATTTTCAGGAAACCTGTTTGCTTTCCATCCATTATACTATGAATACTATGAAGAGGGTTTTGTCTCCTGATTTTGTCTCTACAACTTTTATATTAATCAAAACCAGTTTATTTATGCCCTTGCTCCACCCAGCAGGCATTAGTGGTGGGATATGGGAAGAGGGGAGGAGGGAAAAAAGGTATTCATGCTGCTTCCTTGTCTCATATGGAAGTTCAGCAGTCAGCCCAACCTATGTTAGCATGTGATGATGGACTGTTTGAATGGTCTGCACAACCATCAAGGATCAGAGGATGGAAAAAAAAGGGGAAGATGAGCACTGACACAACTGTGTTTGCACATCACTGCTCTTTAGAAGCCCTGGTTAGAGGGGGGCCATTCCCACTCTTCAGGGAGTGTGTGGGGATTGTTTCCTTCTAACACTGAGCCCAAAAACTTTTTACACTAAATTTAGGAGATGCTGTGATGTCCTTTAGTCCCTAGCAGGTTCTTCATGATGGTCAAAATAAATGTGTGAGCATGGCAAGCATAAATCACAGGAGTGTCAGCTGCTCTGAAATAGTGGAGGGTTCTTGACTTTCTTGAATCAGAGAAATAATGAAATATTGAAATTAGATAGATTGTGTTCATTGAAGGGTGGCTTACCACTGAGGAGGATTTAATACAGTAAATTCCTGATACTGTATTACGTCCAGTTAGCACTGTGTCTTTTATTAAAACTAAAACTCGTATCTGTTGGGAGACTCAAACAATATTTGATTGTGTCCCTAAACTTTTTAACCTTACTGTAATGGATGTTCAGCCAGTGGGTTGAGTTAACTGATAATTTTTTCACAAGTGAGCAGAAAATAGGAACACCAGAAATGTATCTCATGTCTAATAGACACAACAGAGAAAAAACTGAAACCACTGGCTTACCAGGACATCTTGAATTAGGCACTGTTGTCCTGTCTGTGCTAGAGAAATAGTGACAGTCAAATCTACCTTTCAATAGATTTCTCTGTTCCTTCAGAGCAGAGATACACAACTAATGTCAAGATTTGGTACTTCTGTTGAAGAAGGATGAGAAGAAGGTAGGGGAAAAAGGACTCGAAGTTAAAATACCCAAATTAAACCTCCTCAGCAAAACTTGAGGCCATTTCCTCCTTTTCGGTCACTTGTTACTTCAGAGAAGTGACTGACCCCACTCCTTTCAGGTAGCTTTAGAGAACAGTAAGATCCCCCTGAGGCACCTTTTCTCCAGGCTAAAGAACCGGCGTATGGGCTGGTCCCTCAGCCCATAAGCCTTGTGCTCCAGACCCTCCACCAGCTACATTGCCCTTTCCTGGTCACTCCAGCGCCTCAATGTCTGTTTTGTTGTGAAACTGAGCACAGGATTCAAAATGACAGAAAGTGGCCCATTGAACACTGAGCAGCTGCCTTAGGACCCTTGGATCCCATCCAGCCCCATTAGACCTGTGTGTGTCTTAACTGGTGTAGCAGGTCACTGACTATTTCTCTCTGGATTGTGAGGACTTCATTCTCTTCCCCATCCCTGTCTTCCAGCTTAGGGGGCTGGGTACCCAAAGAACAACTGGCTTTACTATTAAACTCTGAGGCAAAGAGGGCATTAAGTCCTTTAGTCTTTTCCTCATCCTTTGTCACTGTTTATTCCTGCATCTTATAAAGGGTGGTAATTCTTAGCCCTGCTTTTGTTGCTGATGTATTTATGGAAATGTTTTTTATTGTCTTCTATGGCAATTGCCAGATAAAGTTCTAGCTGGGCCCTGTTGCTTCTAATTTTCTCTTTATATAACCTCAGCACATCCATGTAGTCCTCCTTAGTTGCCTGCCCATTCTTCCAAAGGTCACAAACCTTTTTTTCCTGAGTTTCAGCCAAAGCTCTGGTCAGCCAGACTGGTCTTCTTCCCTGACAGCTCATCTTTCAGCACAAGGGGATGGCCTGCAACTTCAGCTTTAAGATTTCCTTCTGGAAGCATGTCCAGCCTTCTTGGACTCCTTTACCCTTTAAGACTGTCTCCCAAGAGGCTCTGTTAACCAGAGATTAATGTAATTTCATTTAATCTGTTATTTATGTCACCACACTGAAGGGGCAGGAATTTCTGTCAGCAAAGGGTTTGCCTGAATTGGTTGCCTTTTAGCATTTTTGTTTGTGAAAGTGATACCATAAAGTGATCATTACTCCAAGTGCTAGATTTAAGCAGGATTTGAAATTTGGTGGGTCTTTTTGACTTAGGCAGAGATTTTTAGTTCATCCAAACTAGTGCTATTTGTCTAAACGGGGCTGTTCTGCTGACTGGCCATTACTTCTGCACATCAAAATTTCTCTAGTTTGGAAGATTTATAGCAGGTACATTTCTGGGGTAGGAAGGAAACCAAGGTGCATAGGAAAAGGGCAACAGAGCAACCAAACGAGTAAAAAAAGAATGTAAACAAAACCCTTTTCTGGACAGGGAGTAGGAAATGCAGCCTGTTTCCAGCTTGGTCACTTTTCTGTGTTGGGAGTTCATTGCCACGAGTTCATCTCTGCAGCCTGTGAAAGACAAAAAGAAACTGCACCAGCCAGCATGGATTCATTCTCCCTTCTGGTGCTGGCAGTTTCTCACTCAGTGGAAATGGTAGCAGTTTTGCTGAAGCAGGGAGATTTTTCCTGTAATGGAAACGTCTCATTGCTCTCCTGATGGTAGCTGTAGTCACTCCTTGGGGAGAAAAGGCACAAACACTTGGACTGCGCCTTTCAAATTACTACCATCGTTTATACAGGTTCATGATTGTGCTGATTGCACGTCTTCCTTTTAAAGCAGTTTAAATGGGTCAGTTAGAGATGTTAGTCCTTAATGTTTTTTATTTCTTGTTGAAAGATGTAAAACCGGTTTGCTTTAGTTTTTAAACTAAATTTGAAATTGAATTTGCTGTTGAATTGAGGTTGAATTTGCTCTGTCCTAGCTAGGTGTCAGAATGGCTGCATTAAACACTGTTCACCTTCCTCTTCCTTCTGGCTTCTTAGAACAATTCAGACGGTCAGATACGAAGGTGGAATAAAGAAGTTGACACTAAACAGTGAAAAGCTGAGGTGTCAGAATTCGTATTAGGCTGAGAGGAGGAGTGCTGATCCATGTGAGGTGTTCTGGCACGGCTGGAAATTCCTGCCAGGGCAGGCACTGTTGGGGATTGTCCATTAGGGGTCAGTGGAGCTCTGCCACTGGAGGAGGCTGTTCCCTGCCCTGCTGGATGAGCAATTCCTTCCCACCGCTTCCTCCGGAGCAAACGCCTCTTCCGGCACAACTCCTGCTTTTTCCAAAGCAGCAACTAAACCGGTGCTTAGCTGTGGGCACTGGAAATACAGCCAAATAAATGCACGAGTGTGTTGTTTTGGTGCAAGGAAGGAAGTACTGAAGTATTAGAAAGACACTTTGTTTTCTTAAGTATGTTTTCTGACAGAAAAGCTCTTCTAAATTAACTTCCAGTTAGCTAATTGCATGATAGATACAATCTGTTCAGTTGTACTTCTTGATGATCCCCTTCAGTGACTTATTCAAAAATCAGTAAGTATCCAGGTGGGCCTTCTCAATTTCCTAATAAATGAATCAAAATGGGGGGGGGGAAAAAAAAACAAACTCCACCCAAACAACAAACAAAAAACAAAAACAAACAACAAAAAGCACCAAAAAAGCCATCACAAAAGCCAAAACCCCACCCTCAGTATGATTTATTACCTTGCTTTTGCTCAGGACTCATAACAATTTTTTTATTCTTAGAATTTCCTGTGGAATCTGTTTTCTGTACTTGATTAGATGGCCTGGAGTGAAACTATTTTTCCTTCTAACTCTGGCCAAAATATAGGTAAATTGTCTCTTGTCAAGGGTGTTTTCCTTAAAATTGTAGAGGTAAACTTTTTATTTTAATGCTAGGTACTAAATAGTTAAGGATACTGTTATGTCACAGAGGATTACAGGACTGATATTATTAAAATAAAATTTAATGTCAGTCTGGCCATGTGCCAGCCCTTGCCAAAGAATCCAGCTCCCTGTAGATCCTAACAGATAGTTTTGGAATATTTTTTTTAAATTTTGTTTAAAAGTTTTAATTTTTATTTCCTTTCCTGAAGATGATTTTGGCTCTTAGAAAAGAAGAATCCTGATTGGTGTTGACTATGATTTTAGTTGTGATGAGGGAATTAAGTTGCTTGTTCAGATTAAAGTTGTTATGCTTTCTTCTAACCCAAAGTTCCTTATCACGTTCTCTAAAGCTGCCTTATGTTGTATTTCAGGATTATAAAATCTGCCATGTGTGTCTCAGTATGTTAATACACACAATCCCACAGACACCTTCCCTAGCTGGTGTAAGAGTTTGGGTCCCTAAAAGCTGGCCAGCACTGAAGAAAGAAGTCAGGGTTTTTCCTCAGGGATGGTGATGCAGATTCACAGTAGCCATGTAAACACAGGCTTTATGGAATTGTCCAAGCTTGCCTGGAAAGAGAGAAGGCAGCAGTGGAAGGCAGTAGAGGGAAGGAAGCCAAAATGTTTTAACTGCCAAATTATAAAATTACTTTATGCTCCAGGCTTCTGACTGTAGTCCTTCTTGCAGGATAATGCAGCTGCCCCTAATGGGGTTTTAGTGGCATGTCAGGGGGGAAGGACAAAATCCAAAGAGCTCCAACAACCGCTGGCAAGAAGAGGAGACCAAAACATGCATTTGCAGCCAGAGATGACCTCTGGATAAGGGCATTGCTTTTTTTGCTCCAGTGCAGTTTTGATTTTTAAGAACAGAGAGATGGAAGGGGCTGCTCTAACCTCATTAACTTAATCCCCTGTGTTATCAACAAACATAAAATGGAGGCTTTTTCCCCACTGCAATCCTAAAATAGACAAGGATTTACAGAAAATAAAGTTTTTCCCCTGCTGGGCAGGAAGTCTTGATGGTAAACTGCTGTCCCTGAGCTGATGAATCATAATAGCAAATTTTTTTTCTCAGGAATTGGTCCAATTTCTTGCATTTTTTTAGACCCATGTGGATTATTGATATCTTCAATATACTGTGGTGGTAAGTGCTACATCATAAAAATAGACTATGGGAAAAAGTGGGGTTTTTTTTAATTTTGAATTTATCGTCCACTAATTTGTTTCATTCCCCCAGCATTCTCTTACAGGAAGACACAGCTGAACAATTGTTTCCTTTCTACCATTTCTATGGTAAAATAACTTCCCATAATTTTAAGATCTTGTATCAAGTGTTTCCATCAGTCATATCCTTTGCAGTCTTGGCAAGTTCTGTTATCTTCAGTTGTTCCTGTTATTGAAGGCATTTCATACCTTTAAACATCCTTACAGCCCTCCTTTGTACACCTTTTTTTTTATCATACCTTTTCAAGAGGGCCAGAACTACATTAAAAAAAAATGTGGTTTCAGCGTCAGTTTACACAATGCCTTCTTATCATTTAATCAGCAATTTATCCAGAACAGGACTTTTGTTCCATGGCATCTTAGTATCTCTAGGAGCCTTCAGCAAGAGATGTGTAGAATGGCTTTTTATAAACCCAGGTAAATAAAGTCCAGCTGATTTAATCCGTCTGTGATGGCTGGTTATAACAGATATTCTTAGATCCCCAATATTATTTTTCTACATGACCTATGTTCTTTGATTATAGTATCTAACAGCTATCCCGAATCGATATCTCTCCAATGTCCCTTAGAGAATTCTCCTCAGTGGAATGTGTGTGAGAGAGGGAAGAAAAAATGGCTGGTTTTTGTACAAGACATGTATAGTCACCACACCAAAGAAAGCACAGGCAAGTTACACTATTTCTGTCACCTTGTGTGCAGATTAAAAGCAGTTCAAAAGCTTTGAAAATCTCCACATTGACACATTTAAAAGTTTAAGCTTGGTTACATTTTACATCCAGCACCACTGGTGCTGGATACAAATCTATATCAAAATAACTCCCTTTTGCAGGTTTTTGTGAACTCTGCATCCAGACAAGGATTAAACTGGCAACAAAACACATCTTAATTCAAATCAGTTTGTTATTCTCAAAGTGTTGTTATAAGCAAAAATGAGGACATGCCTTATTTGAGAAGCCAAGAATTTAATGTTCATGTAACTGAAACTTCAGTAGACTTAAATAAAATGCAATACATGGTTACTGAGATTTTACTCCAGTTACTAAGTTTCACAGTCCCTATTATCCAACTAAATAAATACTTCTCACTGTATGAAAAACAATAAATTTAAACTGTTGCACAGAAAAGCACACAAGCACATGCACACACACTGAGTGGGGTGTGGTGTTTCTGACTGGGTTTCCTCCTCTTCCTTGCCAAGAGGAATGTGATGTTGGCAACTTCTTCCTCACTCTAGGTTCCACTTGGGGCTGTTTTCATGTTTGCTGATGCTTCAATGGACCTTGCTTTTTTCACTGGCCTGCAAGTGCATCTCGTCTGCATTTACAATATACAGTGCATTTTTCTTGTGTTGGATAATGCTGTCTGCTCTCTTGTGCTCCTAACACTAGTTTTGTCCAGTTTCAAGTAGTGAATATCTTTCTTTAATTTACTATTGATGAGTATTTGCATCCTTAGTGTGATTCCAACCTTCCTCTTATCAACCCATGCCTGTATTTGTCTAGACCACATCCAGTATTCCCACTTTGAAGGCCTTACTGTTATTCCTGTATAATTGCACTGGCTGCTGTATGTGTGAGTCCCAAATGCATCATTCGATGTAGAATAACCAGCTGCCACCATTGCCTCTACAAAAATTATTACATCATGTGATTAAAATAAGCAAAAGTACATAGAATGGGGAGTAGCTGTCAGATCACTAGGGGGGGAAAAAAAAAATTGTTACAGCTAAGCAAGCTAAACCAAGGTTACCAGTCAGGCTGAGACAAGTTCAGCCAAAGAGGAGAACCATAAAACTACTCTAATAACCACCAGATTAAAGAGGCATCATTTACAACAAAAAGATTAGCAAAATAACTTGCTGTTTTCTATACATAGCTGTAGATCCAAATTGAAACAGGAGAAAGTTGTGTATGCTTATGTTATGGGTGCTATGTCAGTCTTTAAGCGTGATGTGATCCAAAATGAGCAGTTCTGCTGAAATTCTGAGTTCTTGCTAGGGAAGGGATTGCTTGGGGCTTGCTGTAGTCTGGCCTTGGGCAGACGCTGCCAATAGCAGTCGGAATTTGCTGCCTGTGCTCCTGAAGAACAGCTTGTGCTTGAGACTCCGTGAGTAGGTCCTCTTTGTGTTCTCCAGCACAGTTTTGTGGCATGAACCAAAGTGCAGCAAGAGGGAATGGTCCTGATCGGAATGAAAATACTCATGCAGGTATGCCTTGTATCGGTTCAGAACCATGGTGAGTCAAGCTTTTAAGTGGCATTTTTTACTTACTGGAGCATTTCCCAGTAGTGAAGGAAGAAATTAAGGAATTAGGACTGGACCAGGAAGCTAAACAAAATGTGTGAAACGTGAGAGGGATATGAGGTCTCATGATAAATGCACTCAGGCAACCAGTGAGATACTTCTGCAAGGACCATGATGAGATATGAGATGTAGCTGCAAGAGACCAGGATCATCTACACATAGATCAAGCTGAAAAATGGAAAAGCACTGTCTGCAAGCCTAGATATACTCATGCTTCAGTGGGAGGAAAAAATGGAAAGTAACAATGTTGAAAGACGAGCACAGTTCAAGTTGAATCTCATTCTGTTAGGCCAGTCCTTACTTGTAATGTCTTGATCTCTTTCATGACAGCTGGGGCAGGAGACACTAGGCTATATAAAATGCTAGCCAGCATCTTGAATTACAAAAGGCAGGGAGAAAAGACCTGATTCTGTGGTGAAACCATCCACTCAGAAAAAGCTTTTCAATGCAAAAGTAATAACTGCATGCTATTAGCTGTAATCGTAAACCTAAGCTAATATAATGTTGTTTTTATTCCCACTGAGTGATTTCACTGTGAGTCTGGTCTTTTGCATCTTCTTAATCCCTTCACATGCTACTTTGTGCATTTTCCTTTCTAATGCTCTGCTTCTTTACCTGCTGTCCGTGTGCCACATGCAATTTTAGTGAGCATGCAGGATTATCTGTTTAGCAGTAGCTAGCACTGGCTGGCATTTGCATGCTACCTCTTTTCAATTCAATTACTGACTGTGCACAGGGCAGTAATTGCAGTTTCAGAAAGCTAAGGTTAATGAGTAAATTGAGTTTATGTCTTCCTGGGTCACAAGATAAAAATTGTGGATAAAATGTATTTGTATAGGAGAGATTTAAATAGTGGTGGTTGTGTCAGGCTGCACTGGAAGCTCATAAAGAAAGTTTAGGTGTCTGCTGAAATAGAAAATGTCATTGATAATGAAACTCAAAGGAGGATGGAAGAGAGCTATTCTGAACAGTTCAACTTCTCCTTTTCCTCCTAATGGACACACCATGCAATTTGGCCAGTAATAAAAAGTGAGCTTCAGTTTTTCTGCAATGAGACCAACTTTTGCTATGCACTACACAATTCTAAGTAGGCATCATAAGTAAATATCAGTGTTTGAGAGACAAAAACAACTAAAAGAGGGGTTTGTCTGATGAAGTGGTCTAAATTAAAATTAGACATTTTCTTCCAGGTGCCTGCCCATCTCTCAAAAAGCAATCCCTACAGTAAATCACTTATCAGTTTGATCTGCAGGCATCAGGGTTCTTTAATTGAATCAGTCATCCGGTTCTAATCAGCTGCCATCCAGAAATTGAATTCCTATTGAATTAATATGGAGCTCTTTTGTATGCTTCAGTTATCAAAAAACTTTAGCAAGTCAGTGGTTTCAGAGAAAAGTAACTTGTCAGGTCTCTTCCATGAGAAGAGGAGGAGGTTATGCTGCAGTGATGGCTTTCTCAAAGCAGTGTGCCTTTAAAGGTCCACATCTCCCTCCTGTAGCAAAACAGAAGAGTAATTAAGATTAATAAGAGGTGAATGCAAATGTGGGTAGGTGTGTGGGACAGCCAGACCTCATGTCTCAAGTGCTGCACACCAGGTGGTAACTCAGCTGGGAGTCAGATCTGTCCTGCCTTGCTTGGGCCACTCAGTGCCTTATGCTTTCCTCCTTTCCTTAGATCTCCTCACTCTCCTGTGAGGAGTTTTCCTCCTTTCCTTAGATCCCCTCACTCTCCTGTGAGGAGTTTCAGTAGGGTGGGCCTGTGTCCTTCCTCCTCTGGCACACTGCAGTAGCACATCTGGACAGCCTCATCTTTGCTCTCCGTTAAAAGCTCCTCATTAGAAAGTGTCTCAGCCATGGCTAGCACCTTGACCTCTCTCCTCAGTGAGAGAGGGACATCCATTGTCCCCTTCTGACTCATTTTACCCCATGCAAAGCTGTGTTAGTGAGAGCTCAGGAGCTCAGTAACAACTCAGGGCTTCAACCACTCTGTGTGCCTGGCCACTGCTACTTTAGGGAAGAGAATTACAGGAGTGGTTATGGATAAAATTAAAATGGAAAATGGAAAATGGATGGGAGTATGTCACAAGTAGATTGGACTTACATGCGAGAGTGAAAGTGGAAAAGGAGGAAGACATGAGACTAGTCAAGCAAATATTGGCAAGGAAATTGTCCTCCTTAGGAGTAAACCTGTATTGTCAGGCTGTCAGATTTAGTGGGGGAAGTGCCTGCCTTGTCAGCTCTAGCTGAGCCAAGCTGAGCTCCTGGTGTGCCCAGATGAGCCACCAAAGCAGCCTCTGGCCACTCAGAAGGGAGCTGGCTGAGCACTGTGCACACCAGCACCCCTCTGGCAGCCCCAGCAAGCAGGGCTCAGACCCTTGGACCAGGATCCAAGGAGCTGTCATATGAAAGTCCCATCCCATGCATGGACCCACTGGACAGGACTGCCAGGAGCCTCCAGAGCACTACTGTAGGGGGAGCAGAATTAGAAGGAATGGAATGAAGGAAGTAAGAAAGAAGCAGCCAGGTTGAAATGGAAGAGAGAAACTGAAGCAAATGTTGACAATATTAAAAGCATAGTCTAGATCTTGCCAACAAAATCATTAGCGTATGAGTGGAAGCATCTTTCAACTAGAAATGGTCTGTATGTACTTTGTTTCTGAAACATACAATATGTCAGGCTACATTTGTGGTGGACAGAAAACTTCAACCCTCATCTTTTCTTGAAACTATGTCAACTTCAGCAGCAAAACCTCTTTTTCTAGCATTGCAATATTTAATATGACATTCCAAGTGATGTGCAAGACAGTAGAACCAAAAGGGAGATGCATTAATGTAGGTAAGTATTTTCTGCATTTTCTGTCCTGGTTTCATCTGGGACAAAGTTAATTTTTTTCCTAGTAACTGGTCCAGTGCTCTGTTTTGGATTTAGTATGACAGTAACTTAAATTTAAGTTTTGAAACACATTGCTGTTTCCCATTGTTGCTGAGCAATTTACAGCACTTTTTAGCTTCTTGTGCCCTGACAGTGAGAAGGCAGGAGAGGCACATGCTGGGAGGGGACAAAGCTTGGAGAGCTGACCCCAGCTGACCCAAGGGATATCCCATACCATATGGCATCATGCTCTCTATATGAGCTGGGGGGGAGCTGGCTGGGGGCCACTGCTCAGGAACTGACTGGTACCAGTTGGTGGTGAGCTATCACACTGTGCAACACTTGATTTGTATATTCAAATTATTATATTTTATAATGATTATTTTCTTAATTGTCTGCCACATGAAATTGTCTTTATCACAACCCATGACTCTGAGTCTTCCTACTCTCTCCTCCACCCCACTGGTAGGGAGGGCAGTGGTTGAGAGGCTGTGTGATGCTTAGTTGCCAGCTGGGGGTAAACCACAACAATTGGATGAACCTACTTAATGCCCATTGCATTACACCCTTTTCTTCCTCCCCTGTGGATACACAAGAACCTAAGCATATGTCAGGTAGTCTGAAAATGTTGCTGGCATTGAGAAGGGACAAATGTCCTTGACCCCTTGCCCGTGGCAGAGCTGTAACTTAGGAATCCCTCAAATTCTGAATTGGAAAAATGAAAGCATTTTCTCCCGTTTGTTTATATTTTATGATAATGCAGGATAACAAAGGTATATTCTGGTATTTCTTTTCCTCCATACCCAAATTTTGCTAATTTCTACATAATATTGCCTATATTCCACAGTTCTTCTGGTCTGATGAAGAGAAGAGATGAGATGATCTCATGAGATAAGAGTGATCTCTCATAAGGACTGGTAGTTATTTTTCAGAGATTTCCAGAACCATATTTCCTAATATTTCCATAACCAAGATGGATGTTTCTAAGGGAATAACTACATGAGTGCTCGCAGCTGTGTTCAAAACATAGTGCAGCCAAAGTCTGTTGTGAGTGCATGTTACACACCCAAAATTCAGTTCCAGACAGTGTTGGGGCTGCATTTTAAGAGATCATTTTAGTTCCTAGGCCTCTTAATGCTAATAAAAATTCTTACTGTTGCAGGATTAGTCAATGGCAAAATCCATCTGAAAGATGTCTTTTTTTTTCCAGTGAAACTGTGGGTGGAGGTTTGGGTTTGCATCCTTACTCTCTTAACTATTCTTTATTCCTGGCCAAAGCAGAATTGGTTGGGATTGTGATCCTGAGCCTCTTTAAATAACCATTTATTGGTTCTGTTTTTCTCATTATAGGAACAAATTTCAGATCTGAGATTTGGGTGTCTCTGTAGCTCTTTCCTAGGCTCTACATTATTATATTAGCTTGTGGCTCTAGTCCTGAAAAAGAATGTAATTTCATCCTCACATTTCAAAAGGTTAATCTCTTCTCATCAACAATAAGGGGTCACATCATGTGGCAGGGGAAAAAAAAAATATCATACATCTGAATTTCCTACCCATGTGAGCAGTTAAAAAATGAACAGGAGTGGGAAGGAGTCATCACATCATGTACTAACTCATCTAAATCTGGATGCTTAAATTAGGTTCCTCCACCAAGTGGAATCAGAACGAGTCATCTCTGTCACTGTTAGGAAAGCCAAGAGAGATTAGGCCCCTAATTTATTTATCAAAATATTTGATTGTTCTTTATTATGCATTAAATATCTTATAAATGTGCTCTGATTATCTTGCCTTCTTCCCAGCCTCTCAGCCTCTTAAACTGCTAACTTAATGATCCTGCTGAACTTTCAGAAATATACCAGAAGTGCTTCTCCGGAGCTCTAGAGCAACAGGAAACAAAGAAACTTGAAGAAAGCCAAGACAAAAAAATGTTCAGAAAAAAATTCCAGAGATGAAGGGGAGGAGCTGCAAATGTGTGTCACAGCCACAACAGTAGCTGCTGTTCTCACCCCACATGGGCTGTGAGAACTTAATGAGCAAAATTGTCCAAGCACTTAATAAATACTGGGGTTGAAGGGCTGAAGAAGGTCATGTTTTAAAGACCTAACTGCAGGCAATTGATCATGATGGGGCTAACAGGGTTTTTCTAGGAGGCAAAAGTGTGACTCCAGCAGAGCCATAGACGCAGGACCTGTCATTGGAAGGGCCACCAAGCTCTTGGCCCTCACAAGTGGATGCCCAGCATCCCCTGTGGGGCTATAAGGGCTCCACTGCTGCAACAGCCTTCCTCCCATTGGCTTCAGCAGCCTAAATGTTGCAGGAACCTTTAATCTGAGCCTAGCTAGATGAAAGCTGTTACACGTGTAACTAGCAATGCCGTAATGGCAGCTTTGATTACAGTGTAGGTATCTTCAAAAATAGATGATCTTGGGAATCAAGGTCAGGACGTGATTATGAGAATTACAGGCTTTCCTAAAAGTGCTGAGGAAAACAAAAACACAAACTGAGAAACTTATTGATTCTTCCATTTTAACCCTGATGACCAGCTACATCAAACTGATCTGCCGGGAGCCATCACAGACAAATCCACAATAAAAGAAACACCACGTGGATCGGCAGCAGACATCAGAAACCTTCCCTGAGGAGAGGTAAGGAATGTAGAGCTGCCCTTGTCGCTTCTCCTTTGGTAAATGACTACTCAAAAACCCTAATTAAGTTTCCATCTTTAAAATGTGATTTCCATTTGGTCCCTGAGGTTTAAAAATAGTGAAAATATTTCAGCAATTGATGACACTCTCAGTTGTACTAAATTAGAGCGTAGAGGAATTAGGAGTTGCTGCTGGTGGTGTCGTGTAGTAATGGTATCTCCTCTTCTTCTTGCCCTTGCACCAGGTTGCTGTTCCCCACCACCACGCTCCTGGGCAGCAGCCACATACCAGAGAGGCAAATCACATGCCAGTGGTGCTTGATGGTCAGTGTAAGTTTTTTATCACCTTTGAATTCATCTAGCCCTTGAATCCCTTCATTCAGCCTTGCCCACAGGCATGCATCTCCAATCTTTTCTTACATACGCAGGCTTGGGAAAAGAGTTAACAATTTTGCCTTTGTGGGTGTTTTTTACAACAGCTTAACTTTACTGACCAGTATGGAAATTCTCTAGATTTGCACTGCTGTGAACTAAACTGGGCTCAGGGGAACCGTGTGTGTGGGTTATAGACTCCTTAATTGCATGTGGGCAGCATTGTCCTCTGACTCAGAAATATCTTTGCCTTGGGAAAAAAAATAATATACTCCCAAAAAATTATTGTTGTTCTCCATTCACAGACTTGATCTCTTTAACATTGCCCTGCATTTGTCATCACAAAATTTATTGGATAAATGGCAAAAAAGGCTATTAGTTGTTTCCACTGAAATATGTGAGTGATAAACACATCTGTTATATGAACAGATGTGAGAATTCTTTACAGATATGGGAATTCTTTACAAATCCATTTCTCACACTGTTATACTCCTGTACAGTAATTAGGCATGTTTTTGATTGAACAGTCCCTGATTCAAAAGCATCTCACCTGCTCTTAATATGAAGGCAATAAAAGCGTAGCCATGTGCTGTGTTTCTGGCACAGCTTCAGCTCTTCCACATTACTTAAATCATGACCATATATTCCAGTTAGCTTAGGCTTCAGGCTTTAAAAGCTCAATGTGAGTAATGAAGGGAAAGCAATCTGATTAGCTGGTGGAACTGACTAAAAGGCACCTTCATTACAAAGGGGCTTAAAAAAGGAGTAAAACGACATGAAATGGATTAAAGGTATAATAATAATGATAGTATCAAACAGCATAACAAAGAAAAATATCTGCATTCAACTAATATTAATATTTAATAGATGGCACAGGCATGTCCATGGCTTTATATTCTTCTGTTTTAATGATCTTTACCACAGCTTGAGGTCCTTTGTCTTGTCCCCTTCTACTGACAGCAGCTGGAGGAGACATAGATTAAAACAAGGGTAATTTCCCCATGGTCATTGCTTGGCACTATTTCTGCTTTGCTCAGCCATGAACGGAAGTTTAAAGGATGAAGTACTGTCACTCAGGCTGATTCTCCCCTCCACCCCATCTTACCAGGGTTAACCACTCAACCAGTCACCACGGAAACACGTGGCTCCTTTGCCACCCCACAGCCTCATATTGGGAATGGCACCATAATCTCATTAGGAGGTTGAATTTGCCATTGAAGCTTGAATTCCCATAACAGGAGGGGAGTGGACTAATGCAATTAAGCAAATTAGTGTTTTGAGCCACTGTATGATATCTGTCCAATACCGTGAGCAAAGACAAGGTAGCTTTCTTCCACTCCTAAAAAAAAAAAAAAAGTCAACAAAACCAATACTCCAGTTCTCTCCCCACAGGATGTTCAGGGAAATACTGTAGTCTCCTCTCAGCTGTAAATGTCTTTAAAAATGGGAAGAAAATTTTTCACTTGACCTAAAACTGGAATTGTTTGCCTTTCTTTTTCCCAGTGCTTGGATCCCAGTGGTTCTGATTATTTTTATCGGTGTAATGTTTATGCTTCTAAAGGTAAAGTAAGTAAAACCAGAACATTTTGTTTGCACTTTTCTTATGGTATGTGACAGTGGTTACCAGATCAGAACAAAACTCCTGTTGATTTCAAATCTATTTTGATGTGAAGTGTTTCTTAACTCTTTTAAAATACACTAGATTTTCAAGAGATAATTCCAGCATATTCAGTAATTCTCTAGAAATGCAGATTATTAAATGCCTAAAGCAGCGCTTTTCTGCCTTTTGTTGTGGGGTTTTGAGGCTAATCCAGTTCCCTCCTCCCTCCCTCACCCTGCCAAGTAAACAAAGCCGCAAAAGCGGACTGTAGCAAGAATCAGGAACCATAAATCTTTGAATAATATCCTGGCACAGGAGTTTCAAAAGCAACATATTTCTCTGAGAGCCCAGGGGACAGTGCGAGGGAGACAGGGAAGGAAGGGAGCAGTGGTACCCTCCTGAGGATAATGCTGCTCTCTCCATCACAGCATTTTTTCCTGGGGAGGTAGAAGTTGGAATGGCATGGGTAGGATCTAGGAGCCTCTTACGCATATCAATTACCGAGGAGGTTTTGCCGCTGGCTGCTCGCTGCCTCTTCATCTTTGAATGAGAAAGGCAGGAATAACAAGTGCATTTTAGGGGATGTTATTGTGCTACCACTCATCTCCTCACAAACAAATCCCAGTCTGCCACCAGGCACTGCAGTCAGAAGGAGTGGAAGCATGGGTTATTACTAAATAAGGGCATTGGCTATACACTCAACTTTATATAATACATGGTTCCTACCCTAAGCTGCTTAAAAAATAGATGTATATTATGTAGGCAGTATACATAGTCCCAAAGGATAGTGTAATCTTAACATTTTTTCCTGAAAATGCGAGGGACTTCAAGACTGAGTCAGTGCTGAGAATATCTGTCACAAGCTTGAAAATAGAACACAGTGTAGATAATGCCGTGGTTATTTGAAAAGCGTCACGAAGCTGGGTATTTCAGTGGCCACAAACTCCCAAAATGTCAGAGCTGAGCTGGTACTGAACAGACACTGATATGTGCTGAAACAGAAAATACAGGACTGAGTCTCACTAACAAAATAAGCTCTGCGCTGTGATGGCAATATCCATACAGTTTGGATTAAAGTATTTTGATATTTATGGTATCAGATCCGATAAGGACAAATTTTTTAAAAAATCATGCATTTAAATATTGTTTTTCCTCCTGGTACCATTACAAAACAGAATCAAGGGTTGAATTACTTTCCTATGTGAGTTCTTATGTAACACTGTAAAGTAGTCCTGTTTTGCCTATTTGGTTTTTCCCTTTTATCATGTTTGGATTTAAATGTAGCCTTAATCCTGCATATCCTGCTTTGAAAAGCTTAGATATGTAATGTATTGTATGGTATTCTTTAAAAGGCTTTGCTCTTTACTGTGTGGTAGCCTTGAGTTAACAATATAGATTTCAATTCTTAACCTTATATTTGATAGTTTTTCTTGGGCTCTATTCTACATTTCATACAACGTAAAATTTCAAATATACGTATTAATTGGTACGTATTCTTGAAAGTTCCTCAGGGATAAACACCATAAATATGTCATTTCAGGGAGGAAAAAAAAAAGATAAATTGACGCCACATTTTGTATCCTTCATGGAAGGCTGTGACTGCTGTCCCTGCAGTGGATGGGTGTTACTTGCTCTTGAGGAGGTGAGGCAGGAAAGCACTGCCAAGTACCCATAGGTTTTCCTGGTCACCTTTCATCCCATAGTGAGGTAATGAGTTCACTGAGCAGCTTTTCTCTTTTTCCCTCTCCTTCCCTGTTCTCTTTTTGATGATATATTTACTGGCACTCTGACTTTCCATCACACAAAGGTTTCAAAAGGTAGTTTACACAGCTCACCTGTACTACAGATGAGACATTAAAAAAACCACCAAAATGCAGCTCTGCAGCTGCATCTCTGCCTTGACCTACTGCCAGACTTAAACACAATGGTTTCAAACTCTGAAAGCCTCTGGCATCTTTCTTACCCTTATTATATTTTATGCTTGGAAAAAGCATGAAGCACGCACGGGTAGCCCCGTGAAGATGGGAGGATAAGACCTTTAAAAATTATGCTGCAGGCAACAAGGATTTGACGAGAGGAGTAATTTGACGAGAGGCTCAAAGGACAAAGGGGATTTTAATACTCTGAATGGGCAGGAGTTAGAAGAGAAGAGAAAGCAGGAGATGGAGATAAACAAAGGCAGGGATATGCTTCAGGGAAAGTGTAGTAAAGGAAGAGAATCTAAACACCAAAAGTGAACCTCCCTTTTTATCCTCTTTTTGTGTTTCATACAGTCACATCAGCACAATAGATATTCATCTAGACCACAGGATCCATTGATAACTTTTTCATTTCTTCAGGGGTCTGTTAAAATAGTGCATGGCTTTGCCTCCTGAAATAGTGAACTCCTGTCTTGAATGGAAAAAGGATGGTGTACTGACCCAAAAATTCAAGCAACTAAAGAGAGCTTTAAAGTTACAAAATGTGATAAACTTAAAAATAATCAGCAACAATTGCCAGTTTAATAGGTATTACAAATCTTTCTTGGCCTTCAGTGAAGGGATTTTATGAAAACAAATAAACATCTCTGGAATGTGGAGAAAACAGATTTTTAGTACAAAAGTCCAAAAGAAATGAGAAGGCAACCTGTTGTGTGGCTTATAGAGGCACTGCCACATCAAAATGAATTGTTGTTGACAGACAGCAAAAAGGATGAGTCAGGTGTGTATTCTTCATGCAGGTGATGGCTGTCATGCCATAATGTTTTACATTATTGTTTACTGTTTATTGCTAAAGGGAATTGTCCCAGTTTTAATACCAGCACTTTGCCTGAATAAATCCCACATGCCTGTTTTTTGGAAAAAGTAATATTGATTCACATAGAGCAGGTGACTAAGAGCAAAGCAGAATATCAGGGAAAAAAGACAAAAATAATGAATCCTTAGTGTTCTTTTGCCGGAAAGGCTCTAGTTATGATGCAAATGATACAAAATTAATGTATTCATGAATTAAAAATGAGAGGTGGCACAAACATAAACTCATTGTTGTTGAAATGGAATTGCACTGCTGTGTTCCTCATGAATTGCCACGTTATGCTGAGACTCCTCAGAGCAAAGCTGCTCCCCTTTGGAGGGGTGAAAGGCTTCTGCCCTGCACAACACAGAAAACTGAGGGACATCCTCGTGCAAGGAAGCTCTGTGTGTGTGTGGTGGATCTGCTGGAGGGAGGCACAGCCAGCAGGTGTTGTGCACAGCCACGGTGTCTCATGGAGCCTCCACCAGTCCCTTCCCCTCCCCATATTCCATATTCTTCATTCACTAGGAAAGGGTGTGTGGCAAGTGAAAGAGAGGGAGGTACAAGTCATTGTCAGGCTGCACTGGGATAGTTTTCCAAATATACTGTAATAGGAAGTATGTCCTAGACCTAGGGGCATTTTATTATGGTAGGAAGGTAATTTTATCTGTAGGCTTGCTTTTCTTTTTCTCCTCATACATATTTTGTCTCCTTCCCCCCAAATTTTCCACTTTGCTTTGTGATGATGATAAATTTGCAGAATTCTGTGTGTGCAATGTAACTTACAATCTGATGCTAGTTGTCTGTAAGGTGTGCCAAAACAGGCTCAGCACAGATCTTCATAAAATGATGAAAGGTTAATCTAGTTCTCATCTCTGAGTTGTTCTCAGCACACACAGCTACAATGCCCGCTGGCTGGGGCTTCAGATAATGTTGGCCAACACATTTCTTACTTTCAACCCGCAGAGTAAATCCTTTTCCAAGCAAACAAAAGTTATGTCTTTAACTACTGAAATATTTCTTGACTGTCCCAATAAAGAGAAAACATTAAATATGTTCCTGTGATAATCAACTGATCATTTTGGATCTACAAACTCTCTGAGCTTCTCTACTGGTCTTCTATCATTTTCCTTCAAAATACAATTTTTCTCCTCCATTCTGTATTTACTCCTGTTGTTATCCTAAACTTTATTTTATATTTGTTAGTTTAGTTTTTCTTATTGCTGATAAGCTATGATGCAGAATATGTGGTTTCGCTTATATTTAAAAAATCCTGCAGAGTTCTCTCTTATAAACAAAACTGGTGAAGAAAAGTTCATCCCCATTCTGTGTTCAGCTGTCACATTTTCAACTCTAATATACATTTCTTTTTCACGTCACTCAATTTAGTGAATTCTAAATTTTTGGAAACCTCTCTTTATCATATTCACATAAATGTCTTCAGCATTTCTCAAACACATACAAAAGCTATATATGCTGAATGCATTTTAGAAAGAATTATTTGCTCATGTCTAATTCCCAGTCTTGCATGGGTCTAAATTTAGTTGACCATAAAATTTTCTATTATGTAATTTAATTAAGGTTTTCCTAGAGTCTGTCACAGTCTTGAGCCACCGGAATAGTGTTTTGCTATGAGCAAATTTGGTGAATTAAGATGTGCCCTTTCTTTTCTAAATTGCTAATAAACAGGGTGAAAATGCCAACTGTATTGTGATATTCCTTGTCAAGTTCAATCATTAACAGTTTTCCATTTTTTCCAGTTATCCCTGCATACTTTCCACAGTGCAGCAAATTGTTACCTCACTGCAAGATGAACCATCAAGAACCTCTGAAGTCAGATTTTATCAAAACTCTTCAGAAAATTTTTAACTAAGGGGTTTATTGTGCACTTCATAAGCTCTTGGTGTTTAGAAGACTCTTAGATTTACTATGGAATGGCTTCATTTTATTATTTTTAATTAATGGCTATGCTGCATCCAATGCTGAATCATCTTCCGCACTCACACAGAGCGGCAGCTGGTTTGTGATTTCACTTCTGTGCTGACATCCCCTTTTGGAAGGCATATCTTCCTACTCTTTTTTTTCCTCTGGGCTTAATCTAGTCTTACCCAAGCAGTCACAAGCTGTGCTGCCATAGTCAGTGGATTTAGCTTTCTCCAGGGAAACCAGCAGCAGAGGCAGCACGTGCAGGGCTCCAGCCCACACTCCAAACCACGCAGCTCCAGCCCCTCCCTGGGGATGGAAGGCACGAGCCCTTGGGACAGAGAGCCAAGCCCACAGCAGCACAGATGGGAGAAAGGGTGGAAAACCAAACCCAGGTCCCATCTCCTCTCAGCACAGGCTGAGGGGCTGGGCTCAGATGTGAGAACACTCCTGAGACACCCACTGCTGTGGCATCCCTCCAACAAGTGCCTGTTCTGAACAAGGGTCAGAATAAAATTAATTTACGAAGTTGCAGCAGCAGTGTAAGGACAGCAGTGTGAACTTGTAATCACTCCCAGACCAAGACACATATCCAATAAACTGAGGCTTTGGGTTATCTTTTCTTTAATATAAAAAGATCTTCATATGACTATTGGACTAATTATTACATAGGTGAGGCATTTAAATACATTTAACATCACAAGGCTGGTCAGTGCTAGCCCCATGCTGTCACCTCACAATTTTAAATAAAGATTAGCAGAGCTGTAATTCCATTGCCAGGTAAGAAGGTGACAAAGAGATATTTCTTCCCTCAGAAACTGGAGTACAGATTCTAAGCTTTTTTACAACATAACTAGAAAACTTTTCTTCTTCCTTGTTTTTCCTGCCCTGTCAAGAAACTTCAACTCCATTCAGGGCTCAACTCTACAACCTGAATTACAGTAAATCAATTAGTTATCAGGTTGTATCTTATTCTTTATAAAACACCATCATTTATAATACTAAATTATATAAAGCACTGCTTTCATCTAGCCTCAAAAAAGAAAACTCCTAAAGTGTTTTAAAGATACATGGCAAAGTTTTTAGCCTCTTTTGAAATTCTAATAATTCAGTGCTAAGAACACCTCTTTGATGTGCGACAGGTGTCTGCTGATCTAAAAATATTTTTCTGTGAATATTAATTCCATGATTTAGTGAACATTTTTATTGTTGAACTTTCTGTTACTTCTGGTGAAGGGAAACGCCATTCTCCATTCTGCTACCGATAAGAAACAAACTGTAATACCTTACAAGACAAGAAAGTGAGCAAAGTTGCTTCTTTGACTTCTGAATAGGAGGTGCTAGAAATTAAATTAAAAAATTATAGTCAATGACTTACACACTAAAAGAACATTGAACCCTGATAATACCCCTAATACCATTCTTGGTGAGTTATATTGTGCTGAGGTTGTAGGTATTGTATTCTTCCACGTTTCCCACAATCGGTGGTCCATCTTCCAAACATTCCTCCAGTGCATGGAAATCAGTCTTACTTGCTAATACTTCTCTTTGTGTCAGAATAATGCATTCCTGCTCGTTGGCTCTGCTTCTTCTGAGCCTTTAATTTTGGTCCTTAAACACTGTTTGCATGTTCCTTAAAAAGCCCTGATTCCTCAACTCATTGTAGAGCCTTCTCTGTAGTCTAAACTGCAGGAGCTAACTCTGTGCTTGCACCAAAGGTGCTGCGAAACTGAGAGCTTGTGTGTCATGTGGGAAAGCAATGGCATGTCCCAGATTTGGATGGGAGCGTTGGAGAGGAAATTCCTTGTGGAAACACAGGAATTGTGAAGCAGACTTTGGCAATCAGCTTTTCTGAAACCTAGCAGAACAGCAGGTGCACTGAGGACAAAGGAACTCCTAAACCATCACAGTCAGAATATTTGTAAGAAGTAATTGTTTGGGATTTTCAGAGGCAGGAAAAAAACTAAGGAACAGCTGTCTCAAAAAACAATCTTAAATCAAAATGGCTAAAGCTTTGAAAGGACATGGAACTAAAGCTGGAGGTCCTAAATGTTTGGGATAAAATAGAGGTAGATTTATAGAAATTACTAAAAAGGGGTAAAACAAAAAAATACAGCATGTCTGCCCATGCATCTTAAGACAAATTTAAGTGTGAATGAATAAAAATTTGGGGGTTGTTTTCTTCTGGGAAGAGCCTCCTTAGTCATGGTCAGAAAAAAATTGTTGAAGAGCTGCTAAGGGTAGGAAATAATACAGTGGGAATGAAGCACTGTGGAAAAATACTGGCTCTAATTGCTAAATTTGGCACAGATATATCTAGGAAGTTGATCCTACTGAATGTTTGCTATATTGGGGTATTGGTTACTTATCAGAGGTATGTGTGGGTGCAGAATTATATTTTCTGTAACTTTCTTCAGCCAACTGTACCATTAGAAATGGATAATTTGTAATATTCTAAAACTGATGTTTTGCCCAGTGTAAGGTGACACTTTTCTTGCAGGATATCCAAACTAATCATAGTGCCAACCAACAGGCATCTTATTAGTCTGGCTCCTTGGCTTTTAAAATGTCTCATAATTCTGTGAAATATTTCTGGCATTGAGATTCTATCAGACTGCATCTTACAAACAATGCATCCAGTAATGCATATCAATTTCAACAGCCAGAAACTGTGAAAAGCATCCATCTTCAGTAAGTAACAAGTATATGACCCATCTTTCTTTTTTCTCATTGAGCACCTGATAAATTAATGCCACCTTTCTGTGCCAGCTGCACCCTGTCTATGGAGGAAGACCCAAAATGAGCTGTTCCTCTTCTGGTGTCTATGATTAGAGACAGCCTTTGATTCTCAATGATTCTTGACTTATTTGGTCTCTCCCAAATATTGCATCTCATCAAACACAAGTGATCCTTTGGAAGTTAGGGAGCTGGAAAATGAGTGGCACACAGTGGTGTGCTACAGACAATAGCAGATCCCAAGTACTTGTGCCCACAATGGGAAGCAGATGATAAATCTTTAAGTGTGCATGTGGGTGTTTATTGACATCACAGGTGGTTTGTAAGGAGAAAAAGTACAAATTTATTAATATTGGAAACCACAATTTCTTTGTTTAGTTCTAAAAGAGGCAATAACTCTAACAGCAGGGTGTATACTCCTTGGTACAATAGCATGATATATAATTTTGGAGGTTATTTTCCCACTGGAAATGACACTTGGCTGTACTCTGCAGAGATGGTACCATGGGTAACAGACCAAGTCAGTCCTCAGCATGAACTTTTGTGACTCTCAAGTGGGCACCAGACTGGAAAAACTCTGCCTTTGTGGTGCTGAACATAAAGGACTTTACATTCTGTCTCTTTGACATTTCCTTGGATACTGAAGGAGGAGCAGTGCACACTTGGGAACACCCACCTGTAACAGGGTTGTAGATTTCAGCCTGGGCAACACTGACTAACCCAGGGCTGGAGGAACTGGGACAGGAGGTAGCTCCATGTTTGGGAAGAGACTTCACCTATGGGAACCACCTGCTGCTTGCAGAGGGAGCCACAAGCTCCTCCCAGCAAGGGTGCAAGAGCCATGTTTGCTTCCCAGCCTGATCCCAGGAGGTTTCTCACATGCACTCACAAAAGCTCAGCACCAGCAGGAATCACTGACAGCAGCCAGTGAGCCCCGTCAGCCCCTTGGTGTTTAAGGGTCTGGTCTTTAATCCCTGCTGTTTGAGGAAGCTCTAAAGTCAGACTTCCCACTTGCTGCCCTGACACATGGCCACCTCTGCAAGAGGTGAGGTGCTGCTGCTCTCTCCTCCAAGCTGATTGCCTCTGTGGTTGGTGTGGACCCCAAAAATCCCTTTAGAAAGCATTGGTGATAACTGCACAATGCCCAGGGGCTCCACTGCTGGCTCTGAATGGACAAGCATGGACAAGGAAAAATCTCTGGTCATCCATGGAGTTTTATGGCTAAAATGAAGTATACCAAGGGAGTTAGGAGAGTGTGATGTTGGCTGAATGGGTTTTGAAGGATCACGGTTTTGGATGAATGTGCCTAACATCTCATGCTCTTCTTCTACTGCTAAAGTCCCTTACAGGAGCTGGTCATGCAATTATTTCCATTCCCTGATTGAGTTATGGCAATTAGTAATGTCATTACTGTAGGACAGAAGCTCCAGTGAAGAACTGAGACCTCTAATAATCAGGTTTTGTACAAATAAAGAGCTAGACAGCCTAGATGTAACTCCTGGGAGCAGGAATAAATCTTTTAAAAAAGGTCTTTGGGGCTTTGAATCAATCCCTCAGGGAGAAAGAGCAGTTGAGGGAGAGCTTGCAAAAAAAAAAAAAAAAAAGAAAAAAAAGGATTTGTGAATTTGTGAACTTGAAAATGTCATGCACTTTTCTGTTGAAGCTATGTCTCATTGCTGTTGTTAACATGTCACTGTAACACCTGCTGGCCCTGATTAGGATTCCTCTGGGATGGTATAATCACAGAGCACAATGTGGCCACAAAGAAATTACAGCTCATGATCTGCAACATATAAAGGGAGAATAATAATAGACTCAACTGGATTTATGCTGGGTTATCCATACATATGGCCTGTATGGATGCATTTGTGTCTTCATTTACTATTTTGATTTAGCTCTGTAAACACCAGTGCTCCCTCATAACTCTGAGCCTGGCCATTAGAAGTTGGCTGCTCTTGTGGTGTCATTGAAGAAGATCTCAAATAGGGATTTGAAATAGGAGAAAATAACAGCTTAGACTTAGGCTACTGTAAGCTGGGCTGGCTGAGGGGCAAATTTACATTTAGATTGAGCCTCTTCACATCTTCTCTAAGTAATTGTAAACTCTCTCATGCCTCAGCCCAAGAAAAGAATTTAGGCAGTCCTGCACTGCCAAAAACTGTCTTATGCTTTGTAAGATGTGTGATAGCTAATCTAAGTAGTCAGGCTTAGCATCCACTTTTCATAATTATTTGTGCAAATACAGCTCAGTTATCAAATGTCAGCATTAATCAGACAAAGGATATCAGCATTGCCAAAATAAACATGTTGTAAAAGTGTTGTGTCTGATTATTTGTATTATTCAACCAACACCCAGATGTCCTATTATGTTAAGAGCTACACAAGCATATAAGCAGCCATTCCACCAGGAGGGAGTGCATGACTAATTTACGATAAGAGAATACAATTGGACATTACAAGCAAATAAAAAGAAAGAGAGAGGAGAATTAGGGGTTCATGGTAGTCTGTGACTGTGTTTTCCTATAAGACCCAATAATGAGTTTTAAGTAAAGGGGGAAAAAATGTTTTGATATAAATAAATAAGTAATATAATACCAGTAATTCTTACTAGGCATTTGCCTAGCCCAGTGGAGATTTCTGTGGTATGTACTTAGCTTTCATATTAGGGTCTTATCCTCATTCACACCATTCTCCTAGGGGTCTCCAGCAGGCATTGCACGACAGCAGAGGACAGAGGAACACAGCCAAAATCCTACAGCTGGCCTCATACCATACAAATCTGCCATCTGCCCCCAGCCAGGCACATGCCCAGGGAGGGCTAGGGGGGCTGCATTTCTTTGTTATTAAATGCCTTACACTGCCAGCACAGCAGAAAGGGATCTTGGTGTGGCTGATCAGGCGTCTCCCTCTAACGTGTTCTGCTGCAGCACCTTTTCAGGGGCACAGCCCGGCTTTGTTTGAGCATTAATGCCAATAAATCACTTTATTAAGGTGTCTGGTTGCACTGGTGCTGCCCGGGACAGTGAACATTACTGTATCTTTCAATGCAAAGAAGGAGCACAGAATGCAAAGATACACAGAGTTTACAGAGGTATCTGCTCCCCAGTCTTCTTTCCGATCTGAGGTCACCCTGCCTTGTCATGGGCTTTTCATTACTCTCAGTCTCTGTTTGTCAAGGGCACCTCCTCAGAAATCAGGGTGAGTTTTAGTCCTCTTTGCCTGCAGGAGCTTGTGGTCGGTGATGCACAGCGATACAAAAAACAATTTTAACATTTAGCACTTGAAACAAAGTACTTAGTGAGGGAGAAAAAGATAAGTAAGATAGAAAAAAGATATATTTATTCTTGTATTTGCAATGTAAAATTTACAAGGTAACCACAGGAAACTGGACTCTGTCAGGCACTTAAGTGTCTCAGATTAATTCTCCCAGACAATTCCCAGCCTTTTGTGAATGTGCTCCTTTTTTCACATCCCTAATTCTTTTCCCCTCCAGTGCAAAGAAGCCTGGCAGTGTCCCTCAGCTATTGTTTGTAGAAAAGTGGCTTATCTTGAGCCATACTTTTCCTTTCATTTTCCTTCTGAATTGAACCATTCTGTTCATGGGGCAAAGTCAAAACAGGGCACTCATAAATTATCACAGAGCAGTTCCCCTTTCATCACAAGCATAAACACTTTGCAAATCTAGTGGGTGAAGCTGGAATTCCCATCTATTCTTGGAATTTATAGCCAAAACCAAGTGAGAAGGATGACATAGTAGTGCAAAACAATCGTTCTGATATCTCCCATGTGGGGCAACATCTATAGTATTTAGTGTTTCCATAATAATTACTATTCCTCGTTATGAAATATAGCACTTGCCATCTCTTTCACTTTCTTTCACTCTCTTACACATTCCAATAAAGAAGTCCTTGAACTGCTCAACAGTGTACTGACAAAAAAAATTAAAATAATAATTTTTAAAAACCCCAACAACTAGGAGCACAACAGCTCTGTAGAGAACACTGATAATATATGATGGCCTGATAGAAATGCAATGTCATTAAAATGTAACAGTAGTTTGTATTTTATAAGCCATTTTTCTAGATCAACTGAACCACTTCGTATGCTTCTATGAACTGATTGTCTCACCCAAACAAGTAAATTACTTATGTTTTACACCAAGGAGAATAAGGGGACTTACACCTGCGAGTGGGTTTGTTGTGTTTGACCCTCCTCGAAGTGTTTTCTGTATTTTTTAAAGGGCTTGGCCCCTCGAAGCCCTGCTGGTAGCTGTAGTAGCTGGACATACCGGCCAGTGCCATCTTTGCCACAATAGGTGCTTTGCCGTGTGACCTGGAAGGAATATTTGGATGCGGGAACACGCTGCCATCTGGCAGCGAGGCCAGTGGGTGGAAAATAAAGAGCACTAACAGAAGTGGAATTTTCAAGAGATTAAAAAACCACCCAACACAGCATGCCATCACCGCTGGGTGCCCCGGAGCAGCGCCTTCATCGCCTGCCCACTCGCGGAAGGACCACAGCGCCCTGTCGAGAGGACCTGGCCTCCTCCTCCCCCATCCTCTGCCGCTCCAAGCCCCGGCTCTTTCCCGGGGCTGGAGCCGCCCTCGCCCCCTGCCCCGCCGGCATCCCGCCCTTCACCGCTCTCCCGGCTGGCGCTGCCCACGCCGGCTGCCCGGGGCGCTGTCGTGGAGCTGCTCCCCATTCCTGGAGACCTGGAAATGCAGCTCTGATTTGAATGATTTTTTTTTTTTCACCTCTACAGCCTTTACGAAGTAAGGACTACCTGTTGCATGCTCATGCGGCAGCGCTGTTCCGCAGGATAAATCAGTGTTCCCCTCGTTTACCGGGAGAAAGGACCCGGGGATGCCCGAGCGGTCCTGTCTCTTCCCCGGGCAACGTGGCCTGGCCCCGGCCCGGCCTGGCACTGCCAGAAGCAGCTGCCCGGTCTCGCCTTGGCCATCCGCCCCGAGGTGCCCGCTGCCCTCAGGCTCCAGCAGACCTTGGGCTTTTGCTTTTAGGGGCAATGCCTTGAGCCAGATGAGCGGAGCGGGGTCCTGGAGCGCCGCAGGTGCTGCCCACCCTCCCATGCCCCCCAAAGCGTCCGGGACTGTCCTCCGGCCAGTCCCTGACATCCAGACGTGGATGATCCGCGCCTCCCAAGGACTTCAGAGTCTAAGCACGCATTTACTTTCGTCTGACAGATAAGGCAGCCACCGCGGCTACTCCAAGGTCCGCTGTGTCCCAGGGGAAGAATCGGAAACATCCCGGCTGGGGCTGCTCTGCTCTCCCCATTAAGGCTGTGCCTCTTTCCCACGCCCGAGCCTCTCCTCCCTTTCATTTGCTCTCCGGGTGCTTTGCAAATGTAAGGGCTGCAATTTCATATCCCCGTGCTCCAAAAGGACGGGTCCGTGCCTTTTGTAGCTCAGCCGGAGCCAGGAACTTGCTGATATCCTCGGATACTCGGCTCTGCCTCTAGGTGAACCTCTATCTGCCTTGAGCAGGGAGATAATGCGGTGGCTGTTGTTTTGCTGCTGCCAGTCCCCGGAGAGACCGTTTCCATGAAGTCTTAGCTTGGGGGATAAAAAACCAAAACAACCAAAACGGGAAACGCTCATGACGGGGAAATCGAAATTTCTCCCTAAACGAGGCTTTGTGATAGGAAGAGGCTGGCAGAGGCGTCCCTAACATAAAGCGTGCGAGGAAAGTACTTTGCCGGGCGGAGGAGAGCTGCCTGGCTGGTTGACAGAGGGGGCGGATCCTGCGCACGGGCGGGCAGCGCCGAGCCGGAGCGGCCCCGGCAGCCGCGGGGCTATTTCAGGAGCCGGGCGGAGGCGGCGGCTGGAGCCGGGGCAGTGATGGGTTAGCGGCGCCGGTGGGCTGAGCGGGGGGCTTGCGAGCGGAGGCGAAGGCAGCCGGGGAAACACGCCTTTGCCACGGATTGAGGGGGAAAAGGATCGGTTTTTTGGGCTGCATCACAACTTGAGCAGCATCAAGCTGAGCCAGGCGGAGAGGGGAGCGGGAGGGGAAAAAGAAGGAGGAGAAGAAGGAGGAGGAGGAGGAGGAGACGGCTGCCACCGGGGGATTTGGGCTCGATTTATTGAAACAAATCAGTGCTCGGGAGAGAGCGGCGAGGAGGAGGAGAAGGTGGGGGTGGGGGGGCAGGAAGAGGGGGATCGAGAAAGAAAAGTGTGAGGGCTGTGGCTGGGCGAAACAGAAGTGATGAGAGAGCGAGCGGGGAGGCTGGAGGAGGCTGCCCGTCCTGTCGCCGCGCCCCGCGGGGACCGCCGCTCCTGCCGCCGCCGGGCGCCCCCGGCAGGAAGGCGAAGCGGGGAGCGGCGGCGGGCAGCGGCCATGCGGCGGCGGCGCTGGCCCGCGTCGGCCACACGGACAGCAGCTCCGACCTCTCCGACTGCCCCTCCGAGCCGCTCTCCGACGAGCAGCGCCTGGCCCCGGCCGCCAGCAGCGACGCCGAGTCCGGCACCGGCTCCAGCGACCGAGAGCGGGAGGCGCCCGCCGCTCATCCCGCCGCTCATCCTGCCGCTCATCCCGCCGCCGAGCAGCCCCGCACCGGCCCCGGCCCCGGCCCCGGGCGCGGAGCTCCGCCGGCCCTCGGCTCCCGCGGGGATGCGCTGCCCGCGGCCACGGGCGGGGGGAGAGCCCCGAGCCGCGGGGAGCCGCCGCCGGCAGCCCCCGAGGAGCTGCAGCGGGAGGTGGAGGAGCTGCGCTCGGAGAACGAGTACCTCAAGGTGAGCATCGCCCGCGGAGCCCGGCCTCGGCGGGGAAGGGAAGGGCGGGAGGCGGCAGCGGGAGGAACGCGGCCCCCTCCTGCCCGGGAATGCGGGGACCGCGCTTGGAAGGGGGGAAGAATATTCCCGCTGCCGGGAGTCACCTCCCGTGGGACCCCCCCCGCTGGACCAAATGCCAAATTTTACCCGCAGGAGAGAAATAGGGGCAGGGAGCACCAGCCGGGCGCCTCGGCCCCCTCCTCCCCCGCCCCACGAAGCGGGACCGAGGCGCGGCTTAAGGACAGTTTAGGGACTTCAGCGTATGATCGCGGCTCCCTGCAAAGCCCGATTTGTGGGCGCTGGATGAACGTCAGTCCGATGCAACATGTACCGTGGCAATGTTGCGTTTGGTTGACGTGGTGATAGCTCAGCAAACCCCGACTCTTTCTAAAGCACCGCAAACACGCTACTGGTTAGCAGAACTTTGCTTTCCAGGAACTGTTTTCCTCAGTATCACCCTTTAGGAAAAGCCGAAGGAACAGGTTCCCTCATTTGATGGGAAAGGATGACAGCATTATGTGCTCTGATTATT